TCGCCCTGGAGTACACAGGCGGCGGGACCACGAGGTCCCGCAGTCCGTGTCCTCTGGGGTGAGAAAAGCCCCATTCGTACCTGCAAGTCGGGGACTGCCTGTATGTTTATACCCGGCGTATAAGACGACCCCCGATTTTTGGGGGATGTTTTTTAGTATAAAAAGTCGTCTTATACGCCGGAAAATACGGTAACATAAATTAGGGGAGATTGGGAGGCCCTGCTTTTTTATTATGTCACTGTGTGTAACTGCTTGGACTGCTTCCTGCTATTCAACATTAATTTTTAGTTATTTATAATATTGTATTTCTGTGGAATCATAGGTTTTGGTGGGGGGGGTTTTGGATTTTTTTTTAAGGGTTAGATAGTGCTTGGCTGTTGTGCAGATTTGCAAGAGAGGAAGAAAGCTTCATTATTTCACTGCATCTTCTTTGAGTAATTGTTACAATCCCTGTTCTCCCTCTATGAGAGTTGCTTGTACTTCTTTCTTTATTTGTAATTCACCTATCTTAGTCAGACAGAAGGAAGGAAGGTGGGAAGAGAACAGTTGCTTAAAGACTCTAGCTCTAACAGTGCAGAGACCCAAACCAGAGCCTCCAGATGTGAATCATCACTCCAACCCTAAATCTGGAAAACTTCTCAGATGCACATAAGCTTTGCAATTCAGGACTATCTGCATATAGAAACTGAGAGGTCCCTGGACCTGTACAAACTAGTGATGTTTGCAAAAGAGGAAAACAGTATAGTGAAAAACTGCTAAATTTCATAGTTGTTGCCATTTTTCAGGGTTTGAATTTTCTGTAACAATTTTAATTGAAATATTGTCCAACATTTTCTGAAAGTTTTCACTGACCAAATCCCAGATTTCAGTAAACACATGGCTTTGGTTAAATAAAGAATTTTGAAAACTACTTAAAAATCATTCGAGGAACAATGTTAAAAGTCATTTTTTTCAAATTAAACAAACAAAAGAAAAAGACTAGTAGAAATATTGGTCTGCTATCAGAAGGTTCAAAGAGTATCTTTTGTATCTGCAAACGATATGGCCTTATATGATCCTGCTCCTACATTTTATGTCCCCTTCATCCACCAGTCAGAGAACAGAACCTGATTCTTCCTCCATTGTCATGTCTGACACTCACAGTTACTAATGAGCCCTGGCAGAGGTTGAATTTCAGAATTGACTTCCTCTTTGCCAGGACAGAAACATGATAGAACCAGGTAAGGAAAGGCTCAGGTTTGACCATAATTTATCCTCTCCAGACAGGGTTTTATCACACAGGAGCTGGTTTTGCCTAAACCAGTGATGGGCAACCTATGCTAGTGAGTGAGCTTCATGAGTGGCCCTCCTTCATCTCAGTGGGCCACAAGATTACCATAACCAAGTTGTTCTCTTAGGATAGGGTAGCTTTGCTAACTGAGCTTGTGCACCTAGAATTTGTGGGGCATGCCAACTGAAAATGGCAGTACTTTGGATGCAGAGGAAACCCATGGCTTTTACAGTCATTGTTGTGTGCAATCAGCAAGCACCTCACTTCATATGCCCTCACTTTATGTGTGTCATTTCAGCAATACCAGTAGGAAAAAAACCTACGCTGACAGAAACCAGTGGAATCTGGCAATTCCACGTGTGGGCAACAATAAGCAAAATGTCTCGCAGGCCACACGTAGATGGGCTGCAGGCTCTACTGTCCTAAACTGACACCATCTTGCAGAAGCTTGCAGCCCCCTGTTGGGCAGTCTGTGTTAACAAGGACTGTTTTAAAGCTGCCCTCCATTGATGGAAACAGCAAGGAAAGCGACAAAGCAAAAACTATCTGCCCTGCATGGGAGGGAATGCCCCTTGGGATGCATCTGTTTCTGCTGGTGAGGATATATATATGTACCTCCCAGACACCTACTCTTCTCCACCAGTGTAGATGAATCAAGCTCAGAGAATTGACCCATTTATTCTTTAACAAGCTTTTCTATAGTTTCACGGAGGTAGCCATGTTAGTCTGAAACTGAATAAACTTAAATAATCTTGCATCACCTTAGAGACTAACAAAACATGTAGCTGGTATCATGAGCTTTTTGTGGGCATAGCCCACTTCTTGAGATGGAGTTAAGGGATCAAGGGGACAAATAAATAACAGAGAAAAAGAGAGGCTTTTTCTATAGCCCTCACCACTGCAGTTCATTAAAACTGAGCTCCAATCTGCCAACACACACACACAACTAATTTGATGCAGAGTTAGGGCTAAAGCGCATAAAACTCAATTATGGCAGTGATAATGACTCACACATTCCACTCAGCTGCTCTAGGGACCAGAGCGGGCAGCTCCAGGGGCTGAAGCAGAACTGGGGGGTGAAGCTGCCCTGCTGCTCTGGGCCGGAGGAGAGGGGAGCTTGGACTGCCTGTTCACTGGCTGCCCATGTTCTTGCCCATTGAATCCCTGTGTTTTGGAATTTGCAGCAACTGACATTTGGAGATGTGCAGAAATTGACAATTTGGGTTCCATTTAGGGTGGGCAGGGAGCTCTTCCTCCCCAATTTCATATAGGAGGTGTGTTCCCAGGCAGTGCTCTTAGTTGCTCCTTAGTGTGGAATGTGAGTTCTCCAGAAAAGAGAGTGGGCTCCCAGAATGTGCACCTGGGGGCAAGGTGTCAGTTCGTTGTTTAAAAACAGAGGCAGGGTGACTGAGATAAGAAAGGGCTGGTATTTACAAGAAGGATCTGAAAGTTCTTAGATTAACCTGTAAAACAGGGATCCCTCTGCAGATCCAGGGCAGGCATGGTGTGATGTTGAAGATCACAGGGGACTCAGGAGAAATACAGCCAAGCCCTCAGAGCCTAGTTTGCATTCAGTAAAGGGAGAAATTTGGAAGCACAGGTAAAAACTGAAAATGATCTGGACAAACAGGAGAAATGGCCTGAAGTAAATAGGATGAAATTAAATGAGTATGACAAATATAAAGTACTTCACTTAAGCAGGAACAATCAGTTGCACATGCATAAAATGGGAAATGACTGCCTAAGGAGTAGTTCAGAAGGGGACCCGGGTGTCATAGCTTCCTGCTAGTCCCCTGGATAAATCTGGGCCTTCAGGGCGACCTGTCTAATGGACAGGATGGCCCTGTGCCAGCAGCTAGCCCCTAAGCCCCGCCATGGCATGTGGAGGAAGGACATGACCCTTTGTGCTCAACCCATGCATCGCCTTTCAACATAAGGAAAAACTTCCCGTCACGGTGGTTAAGCACTGGAATGAATTACCTAGTGAGGTTGTGAAACTTTTGTCATTGGAGATTTTTAAGCACAGGTTAGACAAACACCTGTCAAGGATGGTCTAAATCCGTGGTGTCCAACACACTAGCCACTAGCCACATGGGGCTATTTGGCTGGTTGAGTATGGCTAGTTGGTTTGAATAATGTGGCTATTTAACCAGTTGAGTGTGGCTAGTTTGCTTCAGAACTGGTTGGACACCAAAGGCCTAGATCATACAACCTACCATGAGTGCAGAGGACTGAACTAGAAGATTTCTCATAGTCCCTTTCAGTCCTAAGTCTAGTGATGGCAAGTAGAAGTATTAAAAACAAATTATAATAAAATAAAGTCATAACATGCATTTCAGAGACTGTCTCCAGTTAACAAAGTACTCCCAAGTCTAATAAAATGTTGCTAACCCCAAATCACTGTAGTAATTTACAGCCAGTCATCAGACATGCACACTATTAGCAGGCCTCTTAGGTGAAGGATTCTGTGTGTCTTTTACTCCAAGATATGCCCTAAAATCCTTCATCTTTAGACATAAACAGGACACACACAGCCCTTTCATGCAGCTTTTGCAATCTCACAATTTGCACCTACTTCAGTACAAATAGGCATACAACACACAACAAACAAATGGCCCAACAGGGAAATAAGTAGGTTAGTTAACTTGCAGGTGTTCCTTTTTGGTGGGAAGTATGTCACCTCCTGGTGACCTGCCTTAACTCCAAGACCTTACAAACATAACTTTCAGCGTAGATACATGACTCTTTAAGCACACTTATGTGATCTCCGTTTTACAGATGGAAAACTATAACACAGAGACACACGAGGCAGATTTTTAAATGTATTTAGGCAGTGAAAGGTACAGATAGACACCCAATGGGAGTTTCGGAAGTGCCTGTCTACATTTTTAAGTGCCTAAATACCTTTAAACCTCTGGCTATAAATGCTTTGACCAAGGTCACAAAGGAAGTCTGGGCAGAGAAGGGAACTTCCCTCCCCTCGAATAACCAGACTATCCTACTTCTCTACTGTGGGCCTCCTGCCTTAGGCCTTCTGCACCCCTCCTCCTGCTTCACTTGCCTGGCATATTTTTCACAGCATACAACTACTCACAAACCACACAAGGCCAATAAGGATAAGCTTTTGGCACATTTTTATATGAGAACATTACTTTAGTAGACAAAAAGAGCCATCAGCTTTAAGTCTACAGGCACACTCATGCAAATATCTGTTCCTACATGCAACTCTGCCACTCCTAGCTAGCAGCACTAAACATCTTGCAATAAGATTAGCAAGTCAATGTCCTCTCTCTCCAGAAAGCAAAAGTCTAAACTACCCATTGACCAAGACAGACATTGCAAGGCATAGTTGCTCTTCATGTGGTTGAGATAAACATTATAAAGAGTAAAAGCCAGTCATCTGAAGAAGTGGGCTGTGCCCACGAAAGCTCATGATTCCATCTACATGTTTTGTTAGTCTTTAAAGTGCTACCAGACTATTTGTTGCTTTTTAAGTTTATCCTGTACAGAGTAACTCGGCTACCCCTCTGAAGATTATAAAGAGTTTCATTTTTTCCATGAGCACTTGTTCACAAGTCCTAGGGTTTCACTAATCCCAGAAGCCCTCTGACTAAGGGTACTGGTTGTAAACAGATATGACAGCTCAACTCAGCTTACAGCAGAGCAGCCTCCAGCTGAGATTTAAATACAGCCCCCATGGGGATCAATGTAGTTGTTGCTTTAATCAAATTTTATGTATTTTGTCAAATTAAATCTAGTGTAGCACCAGTTTAATATCTGTTACATTACCTAGCTACATTGTGCTCTTACAAGGAAATGGTCTCTGGGAGCTAACATATCTTACCTAGTTAAATATATCTATGATTTTTTTTTTTTAACTGGGGAAAAAAATCCAGATTCTGTCTGGCAAGAGCTGTTCTCCAGAGATTGTTTAGAAGTGCGCAGAAGCATTAATAGGGCAGAAAGAAAAACATTAGCTCAATGGGAGGAGCAGTTATGACATCACATCAAATTTGCCCCTTATTGGCTGTGGCTCCTGTTTTCTTTCTGCTTCACTTCACAAATAAAATAGTTGTTTGTGCTTCTCAAAAGATGTCCCCAGAGCTAATGTGTAGTGAGAGGAGAGTCTTACAGGTCATTCAAGGAGAGAACTTGGTCCTTTTTTGTTCTATGTTCATTTTTCCTGCAGATAAATTCCTCAGTGAATTCTTAGCTCTTGGGATATATTGCTGAGAATTAACTTGCCCTCCCCTTGATGCAAGCAACTATTACAGCCATAGTGTAGCCTATCGTGGCTGCCACAGTACAATGCAAAACATTAGCCAAGTACTACACACTGTCAGCTATTTAAATTCTGAGTTCCAAGTACAGGTCAGGAACATAGCCTCATTAAATCACAGTTAACCCATTATTAAATCAACAATTTATTTTGGCAATGAGTTGGATTTGCTAAAATCTGCTATCACAATATAAAATTGACATACAGGACAATTAAAATAATTTCAAACTATTTAACAATAGCTTGAGCTTCCAAATGGAAAACTGTTCCTTGCTAACTGATTCAATAAATATCCTACATAGTGTACTGGAAATGATCGTAATGGTAAACAGAAGGGACCAATTAAGAGCCTTACATTTCCATACTCAGCACCACAAAAAGAAAAAAGACAGTTACCTGTTCTGTCACAGATATTCTTTGGGAAGTGTTGCTCATGGTCCAGCAATATTTGGAGCTGGGTGTCTCTGACCCTGCTTGGAGCGGACCCCGCGCGTCCTCCCAACCCAGCCCTAGAGCATCTCTCCCCCAGCTCCGAACCCAGCCCCGACCGCGGACCGTCCCTGCCATGTGCAACTTTCAGTCGGCTCCCATACGCAGCGTGCGCCAATGGCGTGTTCGAACAGCTGGGCGGGGAGATGCTGGGCGTGACATGCGGTGATGTCACAGCCTGCGACTTTAAAATTGCTCAGCGGCGCATTGCGCTGCGCGGTTGAGTTGTGAGTTCAAGGATTTATGGAGCGGATGCAGACGGGAGGGAGGGGTTTGTGCGGAAGGGGCGGGAGAGGAAGGAGCATGTATGGAGCGGGGGGGGG